TTTCTTTCTTTCTTTCTTTCTTTCTTTCTTTCTTTCTTTCTTTCTTTTTCTTTCTTTCTCTTTCTTTCTTTCCTTCTCTCTCTCTCTTCCTTCCTTCCTTTCCCTAGTGAGAGAGTGGGTCCTTTCTTTGAGACACTTCAAATAACCACATGGTGGCAAGCCCATCTGAAACCGGTGGCATTCATTTTTGATCCAGAAAGAGGGGAAATCTTAGGAAAATGAGTTCAACAGGGCTTTGGGGAGGTGCTCAACATGGGGGGCGGGGGTGAACACTCGAAGCCCATGGTCACTGGGGGACTGGGACACTGGAGGTTAGGACAATAGGTGTTTCGCTCTGGAAAAGAAAAGACTGCAGAGGTAGGAGATTGCCACCTTCAAATATCTGAAGGGTGGTTGTGAGGTAAAACGGTTGGAATAGATTTATGTGGCCTAGCTGGGAGTCCGGTGGGGAAAGCCAAAGGTGGCAGGTATTAGTTCAATATGAGGAAGAACTTCCTTAAGGTCAGAGCTATCAGAAGAGGGAATGGTTTGTCACAACAAGTAGTGAGATCTCCGTCACCAGAGGCATGTAAGCTGAAGCCAAAACACCTTTTGGCAGGAATTCAAGTTCTGAGTGGGTCATTGCATTAGGTCTCTTCTATCACTGAGATTCTCCAAATTGGTCCACAGCCAGCCCTTGAGAAGCCCCAAACAAACAAATATTAATGGAGCGACTGTGTTGTAGAAGGCGCGATGGGGGGGGGGTGTGTGTGGAAAAAAGAACAAAAGCTACAGCCTCTGTCCTCCATGTTACTGGGCAGCTGTGACAGAGGCAGGGTGTGCTTGGAATCACCAAAGGGAGAGAAGACACACACTTCTGAAGTTCAGAAGCAGGAGACCCTGACAGGGGTTAGATTGGGGGCGCAGGGGGGGGGCACCGAGGAGGGGGTGAGATGGTGCCAGGCCCTGAGAGAAACTCCAGAATCCAGACAGGCAGAAAGAAAGGGGAGGAAAGGTGTGGGCACCGGCCAAGGAGTAGGAACCCGGGAGCCGAGCAGGCTGGTGCACAGGAATGAAGGAATGACAGACAGGGGAGCCCGAGCAGAGGAGGCTGAGAGAAGGCTCAGGAAACAGGCCCAGGAAGGCCCAGGAGCCGTGGGCGGCCCACAGAGGAGAGGCGTGTGGCCTGGGTCCAGGGTGCCCATTTGGGGTGCGCAGGGTGTTGCGGGGGGCAGATTTCTCCCCCACGTCCAGTCACGCCGCAGACCACCAGGCATCGTGCCCCAGGAATGCCTCTTCCCCCCTTCCCGCAGCCCCACCATGGCCTCCGGCCCCCTCAGGGCAGTAAGCGCTGGAGAAAGACGGGAAAACCCACAAAAATCTTCCAAATAAGACAAATATGTGGTGCAGACAAAAGCCGTGCTGGGTGGGATGAGGTTTCGGTTGCTCCTCAATGGGGCGGACCCGTCAAAAGTGGCTTGTGGCCACAGAAAAATGCGTCATCTCTCACTCTCGGCGGGGCACATTGTCTAGCGACCCCCCGAAAGAGCCCACGCTGGAGGTTCCACAGCGAGGGACTAGGAGGTCAGTCGCTGGCCTCAAGGTCACCCACGTGGTCCTGTCTGCTCCCCAGCA